CTTACAAATTTCCCAAATTAAAAAACTGAACGTGACTAACGCTATGTAAACAACACATAAAACATCCAACCAAAAACCAAAAGCTCTCGATGAGGATATAAAAATATACCATGCTGTTGAATGAAGATCTTGATGAGAATCAAATTCTTTAATCAAAATTTCTTGAGCTCTAAATGCTCTTATTGTGGACAATCCCTGAAGGCTGGCGGTTAGATGTGAAAAAACCGGACTTCTAGCTACATTTTACATTAATTTAAAAAATCAATGACTACAATCTTTTTTTTTTTCCAATATGATTTTTTTTTCAATTCTACTTACTAACTCCCTCCAATCGTTTGACAGATCTTGAAGTTTTTATGTAAAATATTCTAATAAAATAAAATAAAACTCCAATAATACATGTGGGTATTAAAAGCATCGGAGACACGGTCGCAACAACAATTACTATTCCAAATAAAGATAAGAAAATCTGGAGAGAGAAAAAAAAATTTTTTTTTTTAAATTAATTTAATCGAATATAATTATTTGAATTTGAATGTAAAAAATACCTCTTTTAAAATACCTGGAAACAATCGATCATTGTGCTGGGTAACATTTCATCCACGGATCCCATATCTTTTGAAAACCTATTAAGAATTCTACCAGATGGATTTGTGTAAAAAAATCGCATCGGAGCACAAATTATATTAGAAAACATGTCGTTGTGTAAATTTTTCGATGCCAACATACAAACGTAAAAAAACATGTAGGAACGTATTATGGATACTACGATTGTAAATACGTTTGTACCGGAAAATATGTAAATATTTTCATATCTGGACCGCTCGATTTCCTCAATCGTTTTATTCCGGTTAATTTCCTCATCGTGAGCCCTGAAAATTTAATAAAAAATTTACTATTGACTATTGTTAATTGATTAAAAAATTGATTAACTCATGAAATGTAACTTGCCATTTGCTGCACCAATAATCGCTTAAACTAGCAAACATTTGAGTCACAATAAATAAAAATGCCATTAGAAAAACAAGAGCCCAATTTCGACAAGCTGCAAAGTAACTAAAGTATATTTTAAAACCAATGGCGCCCTGACTTTTTTGTTCGGCCATATTTGAAGGATCTTCTTTTCCATCATCCGAAGCGACGGTTACAGTACTCTAAATAATAAATAATAAAATAATAACTTTTTTTTCATATCAGTATAAATATTTTCTTTGGCATAATTCATAGTTCCTGTGTATACTTCAAATACTTTTTATTTGTTTAAGCCAAATACTTTAGTTAGTTAAATATTATAGCCGTATGTACTTACCGAAATCGAACTTTTTCTTGTAGAAATAGATGAAATGGATTCTTGAATGGGCATTTTTTCTTCTTTTTTTTCCGTTTGGTGTAACATTTCTGCAAAATCTACTCCAGATTTTTGTAATTCCTGATAAGTTCCTTCTGCGGCTATTTTACCCTAAAAAAAAAAACAAAAAAAAAAAAATGTTATAAAATATAATAATTTTTTCGTATTTAAAATAAAAAAAAAACTTCAACTTACATTATCAAAGATAATAATATTGTCAACCATATTTAAATACTGTAATTGATGTGTGGCTAAAATGACGGTTTTATTTTTTAAAAATCCCACTATACAATCTTCCATTAAATGTTTTCCAACGTGAGCGTCCACCGCGGATAAAGGATCGTCTAGCAAATAAATATCCGCTTCTCTATAAACGGCTCTAGAAAAGAAAAAATATTTTTTTTTTGAGACACACACATTCTCATACATTTATATACAGGTGCGGACGGACTCAAACACATGCAAAATATGAAAATAATTACCTGGCAAGATTAATTCGAGCTCTTTGTCCACCAGACAAAGAAACTCCTCTTTCTCCAATAAACGTCTTGTCTCCATACGGTAAAATTTCAAAATCTCTTTTCAAGGCACAAACTTGAATAACCTGATAATAATAAAGATAAAGTAAATTATAAGGAAACAATTTTAATGTTTTCTCGTGTGTACAGAAAATTTTTTATTTTTTCATTTATAATAATGATAGCTTAATTATAAACAATTATTCAACTAAATTAGAGTAACAAATTTAAAATTAAACATAAATATTACTTTTTGATATCTATGCCTGTTGTATTCGGCTCCAAAAAGTATATTTTGTCTAACGGATCCAACAAATAACCATGGCTCTTGAGAAGCGTATGATACCACACCATTGACGGTTAAATTTCCCGACAAGGGCGGTAATTCTTTTAAGATTGCTTGTAAAAAGGATGACTGAAAGCAAAATTATGATATAATTGAGTCTAATACCGATTTAACAAATCAAAATGACACGTTTATGTCAAATTAACCTTTCCGGATCCGATCGGTCCTATGACGGCTAATAATTTTTTCGGAGGGACCGTAAAATTAATGTTGTTTAAAGTTGGCTCATTTTGCTCGCTTGACCATTTACAAGTGAAATTTTCAAATTTTATTTCAGTCGGCAACGTTTTTGTGCTTAAACCGTTAATTAAATTGTCTTCTTTGGTAAATCGGATTGTCTGAACATTTTCGTCGTACATCATAAAGTTCTAAAAAAATTTTTTTTTTAATAATTACATTTGAAAGAGATTTGAATAAACCGAGTACTCAAACGAATTATTACCTGTATACGTTTAACAGATATAAATGCCTCAGCTAACTGAGCTATTCCAACTGGAAGAAAAACAGTCATGGTCTGCCTTAAAATATTGTAAAACGAAGCCAAAACAAAAACTTTTTCTGCTGATATCACATTATCACCACTTAATGCATACATAACGACGGTAAGAAAAAGCGAAAATCTTGTTGAAAATATTATAAAAGAAAGTAAAATTCCTCTACCATAAGCTGCGCCCTTTATTTCATTTACTTCTTTTCTAAAAAAAATTAAAAATAAAATATTAATTCACATCACACATTGGTTTCAATCCAGACCAATAAAAAAAAAAGAAGAAAACTCACTCTCTAGTTTTAGCAACCATTTTAGCAAATGGCATTTCCCAAGTGTACATTTTAATAACCTGTATTCCACATATAATTTCGTTCATTAAACGAACCCTTTCGTCCGTCCTCAAAGCAGTTCGAAGTCTGTACGTAGACATTTTCTTACCCAAAAAACCTGAAAAATAATAATAGTAATAACTTTAATATTTTTTAACTTTATGAAAAATTAATAATTTTAATTTACCTTGAACGGGTATGTGCATTAATAAAAATGCAACACCCAAAAATGTTGGCCATCCGAAAACTTCATACATGAAATAAGTAACGATAACCGTTTCAACAGGGCCGATCCATAAATAATGAAGAAATATTAATGCGACATCGAAACGATTTACGTCGTTACTAAGCAAATTGACAACTTGTCCGACTGTAGTTTCCCCAAGTGCGGTTCTACTCAATTTTAAAGCCTAAAAATAAAAATAAAAAAATATTTATGTGAATCCGCAATAGTACAATTAAACCATTTAAAACCTTTTAGAAAGAAAAATTACAATTTTGAAAATTGTTACATAGACATCCGCATTAAATTAATAATAATTTTTAATAACAAAAAAGCGTGCATATTTTAAAAAAAAAAAAAAAAAAGAAGATTTAAATAGAGAGAAAAAGATTTTTTTCTTTTCTCACAACATACATATTATTATTATTTGTAGTGGAAGGTAAGGAAGGTTAAATATCTATCTATCTATCTATCTATCTATCTTATTTACATCATTTTTCTTCATACTATCTATAAAAATTTAACATTTAAATTCTACAATCCCTAAACAAAAAAAATTTATATATATATATGAACGGAGTTAAATATGAAAACATAAAAAATTGTACCAAATTAAACCTCTAACATAAAAAATTTAGTAATAATAATTTTGATATTATTTACAGACGCAACATAAAGTAATGACGGTAAAAAAAATTCCTAATTTCAAATTTACCTTACTCGATAACAATAAATTTTTCATTTAGATTTGAATTAATAATGATTTTGCTTTTTAACGTTTTTTGAAGTTTTCTGAAAACTTTAAAAAAAAAACAAAATGCTTAATTACAACTTATATATATATATATATCTCTTCTTATATGTATATATTTATTCTTTGACCGTCATTTTATCTGCCGTTTAACAGAGAGTAAATAACCAACTTCGATCGCCTTTATGTTGAATCGTATTAACAGATTTTTTTTTCAACAGTAATGATTTTCCTTTTCAATATAATCAATCAATCAATCAATCATTAACTGGGTTCGCAAGTGCAGTGTAGGAAGAAAAAAACGCAAAGACGAAAGGAATATATAAAAAAGTCTGAAACAGAAACGATGCTGATTCCATGAGCAGTATAGAATAAATCAATGTCAAAAGAAAAAGATGCCAACCTTACGGTATACTAAAGAGCAGCAAGCAACCCTGATTTTCATACTTTGATGAAGAATGGCCTGCATGTAAGGATGCGAAACAAAGACGTTAACCAATGATATGAACACAATGCCGCTAGCATAAAATAATGCTTCAGCTTTTTGAATTTGAGATCTCGGTTTTGTAAGAATTTCTATGTAGCGTCCCATATATGTTGGGTCGTTTTCGCTGAAAAAAAATCCTTTTTTAATATCAAAGTAGGATCAAAACTGAATTCCAACGATTTTTATGGGGAAAAATTACTTGACTGAAAACATCTTTAACATTTTTTTTTTTTTTTTTTTAACGAGCAAAAATATTTACTGAAACTATAACAATTTAAAAAAAAAAAAATTATTAAATGATTTTTGAAATTGAAGAGAAATTTAAAAAAATAACGATGTTGTGATCGATTCGAATGATGTCGCACAAGCAATAAAATAAACTCATTAAATTTTTTTTTTTTTTTTAAATAAATGTTTCAAATAAAAGTAAAGAAATCTTACCCAGGTAGTGGAAGATATTGATTAGAAATACTGAAGAACTGAACTAACAAACCAATAAAAAACGGTTGAATCAAACGAATCCCAACTTCTGACACAGCCAGAATTGCAGAATACAATAAATTTTTCAAGAAAAAAACTTTAACTATAACGCAAAGAAAACTTGGTGTACGATGTTTTTTTTTTGCTTTTAATACTTCTTTTTCCCATGTTCTGAAAAATAAAAAATACAATAAAATAATTTATGCTCATATGAAAAAAACAAAAAGAAAAAAAAGAAGCATTTGACTAACTTTTCAAATTTATCTCCTAAATAATCGGAGCGATGTTCTTTTAATGCTTCATATAAATCTTCAACTTCTAAATCTCTCTTAAATCCTTTTATAAAAGTACCCAAAAGCCACCTAAAAAAAAAAAAAAAACATGTAAAGTGTTTAATTTTCAAAAATTTTACGTCATCAATTACTTTTATTTATCAGTTATGAGAGATTTTCTATGCTTAAAATTTTACAATTAAATAATAATATCCTTTATTTATCGAAATAAAAAAAAAAATTTTTATTATTATTATTATTTTCAATATCATTTGTGCTTGTTCATCATCATAATTACAAGAATAAAAAAAATTCCGTTTTAAAATTTTATTAACTATTATTATTATTATAAACAAAGAAAAATTACGGGAATAATTTAATGATGTCATATAAGAATATGATAAATCATATCCTAATCAAAAAGCTAAGAAGTTTCAAACCTTGAAAAAACATTATTTAAGGCTTATTGGATTTATTTTTTTATTATTTACTTATATAATTAAAACGCACAATTTTATTAACTATATTTATTTTTTTCCTTTTTCCTTTTTTTTTTTTTTTTTTTGCAACTTCAAATGTAACAAAAAAACATTAAAGGGATAAAAAAAATATCAGCATTCATTCATTTATGGATGTGGCATTTAAAAATAAGCTAATTGTGATACATAAATTTGTAGTTTAGTTAGATATCAAGTATTATTTCAAATTAGAATCTATAAAAAATCATAAAATATATTGGTTTTATATTTAATTATTATTATTATTATTTTTTTTTTGTGGGTTTTGAAAAAAATTTTCTTTTTCGAAATTATTTTAAAATTAATTATTAGTGAGAAATTGAAAAAAAAATACGTAAATATAGATTTTCTGCATATTCGAAATAACCAATATTAAATACAATTTTTTAATAATAATAATAATAATCATTTGTTTTTATAAAAAAAAAAAAAAACCCTACAACTATAATTAGCCAAAGTAGATACTTTTATTAAAATTAACTTTTAATTGAATTATTCAAATATTCATTAAAAAATTTATAAGTTTTTCACAGAACTCTATTAAATTAATAATGGTAAAACATTAAAATAACATAATTGACCGACATAATTAATAAATAATTAATAAATTAAGTAAAAATATATATTTAATTAAAAAAGAAACCCTAAAAGGAAAACATTCAGTTTGTCAATTATAATTTTTGATTAATAATTTGACGCGGGCATAATACATTATTGATTTTATTATATAAAAATTTAACAAATCCATGTAGTCATTATCAAATTAAAATATTTCTTAAATTGGTAAATAAATAAATAAATAAATAAGAAGATGTTAAAACAAATAAATAAATAAAAAAAAAAAAAAACTTTATACTTGGATTATTTACAACTAGTCCTTTTATTTACTTTTTTTTTATGTTTCTAATATTAATATTTGTTTTAGTTTTTCAATTATATAATAGTCATTAAATATGTATTTATTTAATATTATGATGAATATTGAAATGATTAAGATAAAATTGTCACTCTAATTTTTCATTTCTATTATTGACTTTAAAAAGAAAAAAAAAACAATAAAACTATATATTGTTATAATTATTGATAATGGCCAAATAAATGTAAAATGTATGTCTGTGTCTGAGAGTATTAATTTTAAACTTCCAAAAAAAATTCATTAAATAAAAAAATATAACAATAAAGAAATTTGTCAAAAGGACAAAACTTTTACATAAAAAAAAAAGTGTCTATATAAGTATATATAGATATGACAGCATATAAAACACAATTATTACAACAACAAAAAAACCACAATAACATTGAAAATTTAATATATTTTTGATAATGATTCAATCACGAATATATTCAAGTTTAACATTAACTTAGCTTTTTTTTTTAATATAAAATTTGAGTTTAAATTTAATGATAGTATATTATTATTATAATTGATAAGATATTTAATAAATAAATAAAAAAATCCTTTTCAAGTTTTCAACCGTGAAAAAAAAAAAAAAATTAATTAAATTGCTCAACCATATAATTAAATTTCCTTTTTAAAATGTCGAATTTTTTATAATTATAAATTTGAAGAAGAACTGACACATTTTAAGCGTACATGATAAAATTTTCAAGTAAAAAAAAATAAAAAAAAATTTGGCTCAAATTAAGAAAACTAAATTTAATGTAAAAAAAAAAAAAAAATTGTTCAAAATGAACATTTACTTTGATTTAAACGGAAGTAATTATATGCCCTGGGCAAAAAATAATATTATTTATAATACAAATGAATGCAAAAAAAAAAAAAAAAAATTATTTTTTAATATATAAATATCTGTACTTAAAAATTGAATAAAGTATAAAAAAAAAATTTTGATTTACATCTCATATAACCCTGTTTTATTAATACTTGACTTCATATATATAGGTTAAGGCTTATCTTATTAATTTTCAATAATTAAAATGTCCATTTTATAAAATAGTTTACAAAATATAGTATGGACAAAAAATTTTTTTGTCCTTAAGAAAATTTCCAATAATTAACAAAGCCCAAAACAAAATATTTTCCCTGATTTATTTTTTCTTTCATACAATTAAAAAAATACTTGTTTTTTTTTTTTTTTTTTTTGAAAAAATTTAAAATTTTAGGTAAAGGGGGCATTCATTTTTTAATCAAGGCATTTGTTTTTGCTAATGTCAAAAAAAAAAAAAAAAAAAAAAAAAACAAATAATACTGTCAGACAAATAAAAAAAAAAAAAACCAGTAGGAAAAATTTTTATCAAATTACAAACTATTTAATTTTTATCTTAAGTATTAATTTTTTTTTTTTTTTTTAAGATCAAAAACAAAACAAAGTATTTATAATTTCCTATATTTTTCTTAGTATCAATACTAAAAATTAATTCAGAAAGATTAATAAACATAATAAACTAATCCTTTTTTTTTTTTTTTTTTTTGTTTTTTTAAAAATAAGTCTTGGTACACCTCGAGATAAATAAACATTTAATGGGAAAATCCAAAGTTATGAAAACATCAAAATTACAAAATCTTATCTTTACAGTAGGAAAAAAGATTACATTAAATAAAAGATTATCAGGTGTTGTCATTTACAAAAGCAATAAGGTTACTTGAAAAAATAAATACATGATAAGCAATTGTTATTTCAATAAATTATTATTAATATTGAAACAACATGGATAATAAAAAAAAAAAAATTTTTTTTTTAATTACTACACATTCATTTAATGTAACATAAATGAATGTTTGACATTACATTTTAAATTCTACAACATGTTATCGATACAAAGTCAATTTAATTAAAATATTGTGTGCTGATACTTCATGAAATTTCATGCTCTTGGGTTTTTTGGTAAAAATGTATAATCCAGGAATTTACATAGTTAACCTTCAATTTTTTCATCTTCAAAAACCATATAATTACATATTTGGTTATAACTCTTTTAAATATTTAACAATTATCATAATAATATAAAAACATAATTTGTTTAATACATTAATAAGTTCATAGAAAAAAAAAAAAGAGAGAAATCCATATTTTTCATATTCGGAACAGAGATAGACAGATAAAATTTATTCAATAGTTTTATGACTATTCGCTAACTTAAAATTGAAATAGAAAATTGTAATTATCTAAAAAAAAAATTTATGACATGAAAAAAAGTAATCATGTCATTCCTTATCATAGATTTAACTACCTGATTTTGAGCAAAATTTCTAAATATTTTAATTTTGAAAAATTCAAAATGAAAAACATTTATAAAAAATTGTTAAATATTAGTATGAGTGCGTGTGTTGTCAAGGTTATGCTTAAAAATATTTATTAAAAAAAAAAATGATGAGGTTTTGAGTAATTAACTTTAAGTTATTAAATAAAAAATTGTATCCCCTCATAAAAATTTTAAACATTAATAAAAATAATCAATAATCAAAAAGAATTAGTCAACATTTTAATAAAATGTCACAATAAAAAAAAATTATTTTTTGTCACGATTTATAATTTGCTAAAGATAAAATGTTATATATATAACATTATAGATAAAATGTTATTTAATATTTAAAATAAAGATTTATGTTTAATAAATTCATTTATAATTATATACATGGATATTCTCTTAATTCGCATTTTTTTAAAACTAAATAACGAAAATACTAAAGAGGGAGAAAAAACAACAACTGAAACGTGGGATTATAACCTTATGTTTTAAGGACAAATACCAAAAAAAAATTTAATTATATCGTATCAAAATTGGATAATAATAATAATAATAATTAATAAGTAATTATAATATATTTATATATATATATAACTTACGAAAATGTCAAAGCTGAAAAAACATTAGCATATTCTCTGGGATTCGAAGGTTTCGGTTTTTTTTTTTCTATATTTTCCATTTTGTACTAAATTATCACATTCCTAAACAAGGACCCATTAAAATACTGTATGAAAATGAAATTAACAAATCAACTGTGGGTGTAAGGCACCAAAATAACTGTATTAATAAATAAAAATAAAGAAAAAACGAAAAATAAAGTAAAAAAAAAAAAAAAAAAAATTAAAATAAACGCGGCCTCCGTCCGACCTTTACACTTAGAAAGTCGGCGGTGAACTAAAATGGAAGCGCAGGTCTCGACATGAGTTAATTTAAATATTATAATGACCCGCCATTTTTATATCTCTAATAAAAAAAAAAAAAAAAAAAATTTGCATTTAATATATAATCAAAGATATATAAGACATCATTATATATTATATTTTTATAAAAATTTATTATTAATTTTTAGCTCGAAATTCATTTTACAACGGAGATTATTCATATTCGATTTCAATAATATGAAATCCTTCATTTCATGCACATCCATTTTTTTTTCAAAAATTTAAGGAATATGCTTATTGAAATAATTTAGTCTTTGAATAATTCAAAGATAACTCATACAAAAAAGATCAAAAATGTCAATAAATTGTTATTGTATTATTTTACTTTTTAAATATTTTAATTATTTATTCCAAGGTTAAACTTACAGTAATTTGTTCCAGAACTAAAATAGAGACATTGTTA